AGCTGCGACGCGCTGGGTGATTGATATGCAAAAAAGCGGAGGGGTCTACTTCTTAGGCGCCTCAAACGAATGGTGGAAAACGCGGGGGTGAAGGGACGGGTGGGTGAAGGGACGGATAATATGGAAAATAAAAAACTGCCCGAGCAATCAGCATATGGACAATATCCCGTATGCCAGTCAGGGAATCAACTTAACAGTCGCTTAACAGTCGCTTAACAGTTGCTTATATAAACACACGCCTTCATACGCTTTTCAGACTGTGCTGTTAACCAGCTGTCCGTAACAAGCTATACTGTATACAAGAATCCAGAAAAACTGTCCTCTGTACAAGCTACCCTCAATATAAGATGCACTGTACTCACATATGGACGCTCCGTGAGTAGCTGATCCGCATTGAATTGAGCCTGCAGAAACGGAAAACAAGAAAGAAAGGAAGAACATAAGAATGGAAAGAAAGAAAGAAAGAAAGAAAAACAGAAGAAATGGAAAGACGAGCGGGAAGCATCCTCTCCAAAAAACCGTGCCCCGAGCCTAGGTCAGAGAAGTACATACTCGCTATAAGAAGCTCACCACAACCGCCTTAAGCACTTCATTGCTCATGCAAGGCAGAACCCTCTTATTGAAATCCGGAGGTGACTTTTGAGTCGACTCAAAAGTCACCTATGAGATCCGTGCCAAGTTTCTCGAAGATGGATGGCGGGCAGGCAGGTGGGTGGATAGCCCACTACTTAACCTAAAGCTAGAGAGAGGACTTTTGAGTCGACTCAAAACTCTTCTTGGAGATGGATGGTGAGCAGGTGGGTGGTTTCTAGCCCACTGCTTAACCTAAAGCTAGAGAGAGGCAGAGCAGAACATACTCGTTACAAGCAGCTCACCACAACAGCTTTGAGCACTTCATTGCTGATAGACGGAAGTCCCACTCGTTGTAGTCCATTCCCAGGGTCTTGAATGCGGTGGGCAGGTGGGTGGTCTCTGACCTATAAAGCTAGTGTACTCGTTACAAGCATTCTCAACTCACCACAACAGCTTTAAGAACTTCGTTGCCAATAGACGGAAGCACCCTCTCGTCGTAGTCCGTGCCAAGAGTCTTGAATATGGTGGGGCAGGTGGGTGGTCTCTGGCTTCGACAGCACTCGCCAGCGTCAGATTCACCATCTGGAGGTCTGGAGGGGGGAGGAAGGTGGAAGGAAGTGGGCATGGGAGAACGGAGAGGATAGGGGAAGGGCGAGAGGAGACGGGAAAGAGGCTCTTGAATATGGTGGCCAGGTGGGTGGTCTCTGGCTTCGACAGCACTCGCAGCATCAGATTCACCATTTGTTTTCGAGAATTCTCAAAAACAAAACCACAATGTGGTGGGCAGGCGGGCAGCGTCAGATTCATCATTTGGAGATCTGGAGAGATACGGGGGGGGGGGGGGAGTAGAGGGGTAGGGGTAGGGAGGAGGCTCTAAGGACGACGGGAGTCTTGAATATGGTGGGCCGGTGGTGGGAGGTCTCGGGCTGGGACAGCACTCGCAGCATCAGATTCGCCACTTGGAGATCTGACGGGGGGAGGAAGGGCGGTGGGAATGCGAGAAGGGGGAGGACAGGGTAAGGGAGAGACGGGATGGGCAAGATTTTGCAGGGTGATTTTTTGAAAACTCTCAAAAACACCCTGGGAATGCGAGAAGGGGGAGGAGAGGGTAAGGGAGAGAGGGGATGGTCAAGAGGCTCTAAAAGGTGGTGGGCCGGAGGGTGGTTTCTGGCTTTGACAGCACTTGCAGCGTCAAGCGCACAATCTGGACACCTGGTGAGCCAAAAGGGGAGGGGAGAAGCGACGGGGAGGGGGGGCGCCGTGCGAAGAAAGGGGGTGGCAAAGGGAGCATACCTTGCTTGACCTTTTGTTCCTGTAACGGAGTATGCCTCATCTTACCTTATGCACCTTATAGCGAGTGTACCTTATCACACCTTTTGTGACTGTAACAAAGGTGATGGAATAAGGGCGAGTGCGCACATCGAGGATATACGGCTTTTGCAGCCACGGGATGAGCAAGTGCGTGCCCTCGCCCCCTGCATCTCCCCACTTACTCTTGATCCTACAACGCGTATACCTCATCTCACCTTTTGTTCCTGTAACGGAAGTGATTGAGCGGGGGCGAGTGCGCACGTCGAAGATGTAGGGCTTCTGCAGCCAGGGGATGAGGAAGTGCGTGCCCTCGCCCTGCGTTTCCTCCAACACTCCGCGGAACCGATTCGAACAGCACCGCGCGATGCCCGCCGTCCACTGCAGAGTGGGGGGAGAGGGGGGAAAGGGGAGGGGGAAAGGGGGAGGCGGGAAAGGGGGAGGGGGGAAAGGGAGAACACGAGGGAAAGCGCACGGTTGGGGAAGGGAGGGGGGGGAAGAAGAGCACAGGACAGGTGTTGCAGCCGCGGGATGAGGAAGTGAGTGCCCTCGCCCTGCGCCTCCTCCAATCCAACGCCCCGCGGAACCTGTTAAAGATCACCCCCGCGGGATGCCCGCCGTCGACTAGGGAGAGATGAAAGGTTGCGGAAATAAGAAAGGCACACGGTTGGGGAAGGGCGGACTAGAGGGAAGAGGGCAGGTGTTGCCCTCGCCCTGCACCTCTCTCCGAGGCGCCTCAAAAGACGATTTTCTTAGGCGCCTCAAAAAACAATTTTCTGAGGCGCCTCAAAAAATCGGTTGGGAAGGGCGGACTAGAGGGGAGAGGACAGGTGTTGCCCTCGCCCGCGGAACCTGTCAAAGATCACCGCGCGATGCCCGCCGTCGACTGGGGGGAGACCCGGTGGGGGGGGGGGGGCGGGGTCCGGGGGAGAGGGGATGAGGAGGTGCGTGCCCTCGCCTTGCGCCTCCTTCCAGCCCTCCGCGGAACAAGCGCATTGGGTAGAGAATCGGGTACGCGGTAAGTGCTAGTGGATCGGGTAGGGTAACGTATGCTTTTCTTGACAAGTGCTGGAGGCGTTACTGGGGCAACTGCCGTTAATGAAACGCAGAGATACCGCCTCGAGAGAGCGATGGCCATGCAAACGGCCAGCCGACAAATAATAGCAGGCGAGGATGGCGAGATGGCGGGATCCTGGCGAAATTCGCCTTGATCCTGGCGAGATTTTGACGCGGGCTAGCACGTACCCGTATAGAGTGACGCGTTAAGCAGGCTGCCACCCACGCCAAGCGTGATCGCGAGCCTGGCGACGTTCGTCAGCACAGATGTCGCAGATGAGCTCATGGTGGCGAAAACCAGGTTACCCGCTTCGCGTCAGATGTGCTCACAGCACAAGAGAACGGTGGAATCGCGAATCCAATCCAAAGATCGCGAATCCAATCCGGATCTGAAAAGATCGCGAACCCTAAAATCTACCGCTAGAGGGATCGATAACCCTAAAGCCGGCGTCAGATCCGCCGCAAAGGACGCGAATAGGAACCGAACGGAATGGCGGAGTGGACGTGAACGAAATCGGGCGAAGACGGATCAAACGGACGAGGCGAAAGAATCGGCGATATCGGATATCGAACGGTCCCTAAACGCGGTCCTTCAAGATACGGGCGGACAGAACGCCAACTGTAGGGAAAGGAAGGCTCTAGACTAGATTCTAGAAGAACGATGGGAATGATTGAAGCGAGCGAGGTAGCGTGAGGTGGTGGTCTTCGTACGGAACAAGCCAGAGGGCTCACGAGTCACGACGTGTGGTTACCAAACAACTCGCGAATTGGATTCACCCTCTGTGGACGTTCGCGCTACAGTGAGGCCACCTGTGTTTAACAATCGGTACAGAAATACTTGTACAACTGGATTACATTCTGCCATTGAAACAACATGTGCAAAGCGAACCACATATGCTATATTCAACCAACTGTAGTATTTCTTGTAACAACTTCGTGTCCTCGAACCACCTAGAATTTCATTAAAAAAAAACGCCTCAAGTCCTCTAATTTGTATGGTGGGTTGGGCATAGAAGCCATTTTTCTCAAGCCTTGGTGGCCTGCGGAGTGGAGGTTGGAACAGCAGTATCTGGAGCCCGAGCAGCCGTGCTCTTGAGGTCCAACAACCCATCTTCCTTGAGCTTGGGGTCGAACCGTAGCACCTCCTTGCAGTTTCGGGCCTTGAATGCGGCCTCCAGCTCCCTCTCCACTCGCCTTGCCACCTCCTTGAGCGCCTTTGCCTTGGGGGGGCCAGGGGCGGCATACTCCACCGACTTCCTCTCCTCCTCTGCACAGAGCCAGGTAAAGGACAGGCACAAAGCACAATGAACACCAGTTGAGCTTGGCGTCGAACCGCAACACCTCCCTGCAGTTCCGGGGCTTGAATACGGCCTCAAGCTCCCTCTCCACTCGTCTCGCTCGCCACCTCCTTGAGCGCCTTCACCTTGGGGGGCCCAGGGGTGGCATACTCCACTGACTTTCTTTCCCCCTCTGCGGAAGGGGATAGGGAAACAAAGAAACGAGCTGGCTATATTTCCAGCTGGATTTCGTTCTCCTCCTTTTTTTTTCCCTCAGTTCTCTTTATTGAACCAGCCTCCTTTCGTGCCCTAAAAACGGAGCACTGCAAAAGAAAAGAAGGTACAGACCCAGTAAAAATCCCTGAAACCACTAGGACCATCTCACCGGTCATCAGGGGCTTGCAGTCAAGGGGGTTCTCCCAGCGGTTCTGCTCCGGCCCCTCGTCATTCCCCGGGGGAGAGACCCCGTTCTCGGCGATCCACTGGTCCTTGATGGCCTCGAGCACGGCCTTGGAGGGGCGCGTGATGTGCGTCACCTTCATCCACGCACACGCGCTCGGCACGCGCGCAAAGTGCAGCCGCATGCTCTGGTACACCTGTGCATAGGAAGGAGCGGGGAGGGTGGAGGGAGGCGGACGGGAGAGGAAGGGAGGGAGGGCGAGACAGCTGTTTGCTGCAGCTAGGAAGGAGAAGATGGAGAGCAGGAACGAGGGCTTTCTGAGAACCACAGGTCCTTAGGGGCCCTTGATGGCCTCCAGCACGGCCTTGGAGGGGAACGGGAAGGGAAACGCGCACAGAACCTGGGCAAAGCGCAGCCGCATGCTCTGGTGGGAGGGAGGGGAACGGGAGGTGTGGGGGGAGGGGTGGAGACGGGGGTAGGGGAGCATCACAGCAGTCTGGTGTTAACTTGGAGGCCCATGACACAGGAGGGCCCACATACAGTTTAAGCACACATCCTGAAACCGTCAGTTTAAGCACACATCCTGAAACCGTCAGTTTAAGCACACATCCTGAAACCGTCAGTTTAAGCACACATCCTGAAACCGTCAGTTTAAGCACACATCCTGAAACCGTCAGTTTAAGTCCCGCCCACCTGGCATGGGAGTATCCCACGCGGTTTTCTCGTTCCACATAGACAAGATAACACATCTGTGCTCCGCACATGCTCACCTGGCGAGACACGCCAATGTACTGTAGCACTTTGTCGTCGTCATAAATGGCGTACACAGACGCCTTGGCTCCTGCTTGTGTGCAATCCGTTAAAAGCCCTTCCTCTGTAAGGTACGGCACCCAGTCTAGGTCCACAAGACGCGGGTGGGCTCCTGCTGCTGCTCCTGTTCCTGCCGCCGCTGCTGCTGGTCCTGCTGCGGCTCCCCCACTCACTTCGCTCTTCCTCTGGACCATCTGCTTGCGCCGATACTCCTCCTGCGCCTGCGGAAACAGACAGTGGGGAGGGGAGGGGGGAAGGAACGGCAGAAACCTTCAGCGTCGCTCTTCCCATTTCAAAAGCCTCCCAGAGACCTTCCCGTTTCAACCACTTCGCCCTTCCTCTTCCTCTGGGCCGTCTGCCTGCGCTGATACTCGTCCTGCAGCTGCGCTTATGAATATGGGGTTGGGTCGGATTGTTGCGGGGAAATGGAACCTCTTCGAGCCCCACCAGCTACCTCGCTACTCCTTTGTGCCATCTGCATACACCAATACTCCTCTTGCACCTGCGTTGGGGGTGGGTTGGATTGGTGTGGAGAAAAGGAACTCGCTACCACCAGCTACCTCGCTACTCCTTTGTGCAATTCGCCAGTGACAAGATTCACTTTCAAGAGAAGGGAACTAGGGGAAAGGAGGGGCTTACTGACGGTGAACGAGGGTTATGGATAAGAACGAGATACCAGCCCTTGACAAGCCGAGAGTAGTTATGAATCCCTCGTCCTCTTGTACTTCGTATAGTAACTACCGTTTTGACTCTTTGTACTTCGTATAGTATCTATATTTTTGACGCATTAATAAAAACCAAGTCTTGCACTGGAGGTGTCTGTCTCTTCACTCTAATTTTGACACCCAATCAACTCTCACCCTGACAGTGGCCTGTCTGTTCATCTCACTCTCCTCTCGTTAGATGACTCCCTATATTCTTACCCTGGCAGTAGCCTGTCTGGTCTGTTCCGCATGAGCCTCGGCCGCTGCGAGCTTCTGCTTCCACTTGGGCTCCGACGACTGACCCGCATCGCCGTCACCTGCAGTACGATTCGATATAGGGGGGAGATCACAAGTTGATAAACCGAAGAGCTCAATATCGAGCGACCCAGCTCTGGCTTCCACTCGGGCTCCGACGATTGACCCGCATCGCCGTCGCCTGCATTCGTTAAACATGAGAAGGGAACAGGGTTACCATCCATTCCAAATAAAGGATACGATAAAACGACGTGTAATGTGTCGGACAGGATAGGCTTCGACCGCGTTCGATATTCAATACCTGCAGCAGTCTATTTTTGAGGCGCCTAAAAAATACGACCGCGTTCGGTGTTCAGTACCAGCAGCAGCGCAGGCGCAGGTTAACCACTTGTGCTTACGCAGTCGCGTTTTGAGACGTCTCAAAACAAGGGTACCATCAGGCGGCGGTTTTCATCCATTTATGTTCAGTACCTGCAGCAGCGCAGGCGCAGGCTAACTACCTGCGCGTGTAGTCGCGTTTTGAGACGTCTCAAAACTAGACTATCAAGAGGCGGTTTTCATACATGGATGTTTAGTACCTGCAGCAGCGCAGGTGCAGGTTAACCGCCTGTAAGTAGTCGTCGTCGCATTGGGTCGCAGAGACGCGCCGGACGACTGCCTTGCGACCAGCCGCTGCAAGGAGGTGCTGCACGCATGGAGAAGATGCAACAAGGAGGGAAGATAGAAAAGAATATGGAAAGTCACGGAGGAGTCATGAACGACGACGAAGCATGAACGGCACTGTTTAATCAATGGTACGCTGGACAGATACATGCATATTGCTACTTGATCCCCGACAGTGCGAGACACTTGTCGCCATTGAAAGGCGAGTGTCGGAGACGAAAACAAGAGGATTCGCCGCGCATTACAGAAAATGACTGAGGGCACACGGCTGAATGCTGAGAGGATTTCACTCACGCGACTGCAGAGGAACCAGCAAGAGCCTCCATTTCGTTCTCGGAGACGTAGATAGTTTGAAGAAATGGCGGGGAAGAGGAGGAATCCTTGATCAGGAGACTCGGGACGGGAACCAACTAGCTCAGCTTCAAGCCAGATTCTAGGACGGGTGTAAGGAAACTGTGAAATGAGCTTGACTTGTGCCAAACCAGAGCTAATGAGCATCTGACTTGTGCCGAGAAAACCTCGAGATTTGTTTCTCTCTACTTCAAACGCCACGATTGACCACAAGGAAACGTTTTGCAAGCCTTTTCACCGTGTCAGACCTGTTCGAAACGTTTTGCAGTGAGGTGAGCCTGGGAATTGCTCTGCTCGGCTGGAGATCAGATTTTCTGATGTGCCAGTCAGCAGCTGCCAACACCGATGTGGTGCTTCGCCACGTCGGCTCTGACGCTTTTTTATGGGGCAGTGGAAGCATCTACTTGCTTTCTATTGGTCCACATATGATCGGAGGAATCAGCCTTGATAACATCAACATTGTTTATTCGTATTATCTATAAGCATAGGCTTAACGCAGAACAGTAATGCAGACTAACGAAACATACCCGATTACACATGAAAAGAAAGCGAAAGGGGAGTTCTAGGTTTTGAATCTGGTTTTGACTTCTACCGAATTCTGCCTCCAACGGTATTTTTTATCGTCCTTGTCATTGCTTCATCAGTCCGCTAGAATTCAGTCCGTCGCGTAAATTAGGCGTCGTTTATCTCATCGCGACAGCCTCCCCGTTCTTCTTAGACTGAAATATCTACTGTCAATCACCTTCGTGTCGCAGACAGTCGCGTGCGATGGGCACAGTAACGGACGACAGACCTGGCGACGGTCCCGCAGCCCGCGATGCCTCCGCCACCCCGGCCACCGCCATCGCTGCGGCTTCCGGAAAGCGCAAAGAGCGGGAGGAAGGCCCGGGGACGGCGTGGACGCGGGGCAGCAGAGGGAGAACCGCGAAACCGGGGGAACGGCGGAAGCAGCGGTCGGGCGGAGTGCGGGGGAAGCGGCGGAAGGGCGGAGTGTTGGGGGAGCAGAAACGGGCGGAAGGGGAGTGGAAGCGGGGGCGGGAGCGGGAGCGGAAGCGGCGGATCTGGGTCCAGTGGTGGGACCGGCGATGCCTAAGGCGAAGAAGAAGAAAAAGCCGCTGGAGTTCGAACGAGTGTACCTGGACGCGCTGCCGAGCGCTGAGATGTGAGTCGAATGATTGAATGACGCGGCATTCCCTATGCGCAGGACAAGATGTAGATTGTTATGAATTAGAAGAAGGACAAGAAGCCACTGGAGTTTGAACGAGTGTACCGGGACACGCTGCCCAGCTGAAATGTGAGTTAATTGTCGATGGGAGTAGAATAAAATTGGAGTTAAACGACCAGTTGCACCGTGACTGGAAGACACGTGCCTTAGCTGCTCTCACCTCTCTCCACCACTTTTCGCCGCTTTCCATCTCTTTCCACCCCGCCATCACCCACCAGTTACGAGAAGATCTGCATGCACGTGATTGCGTGACACATGTGGCCGACTCAGACTCACCTTTCGTACCACGTTCCACCTCATTTCACCGCTTTCCACCCCTCCACCCCGCATCAGGTATGAAAAGAGCTACATGCACCGAGACTGGGTGACACACGTGGCCGTCTCAGATGCTGATTTCATCATCACAGGCAGCAGGGACGGTGCGTTATAAGCATATGGTTCGTTATAAGCAGGCTGGTGCGTTGTAATGGTTAGAAACATGCTTGATGGCAGGGCGACTTTTGAGTCGACTCAAAAGCCACCTTGGTTAGAAACACGCTTGATGGCAGGGCCAGAAATATCGACAAGCGCAACTTGGGTTGACGGGGGAAGGAGAGGTTGCGATGTTTCCGTAACCTTTTTTTTTTTTTTTGTGGTTGCATGCATGCATGATCAACCAGGAATTTCTACCACCTTGACCTTTTAATTTTTGTTTTTCACACGTATTGATCCCCTTCGTTGTCCCTCCACAACCCCAACCCCATCCAGGCCGCCTCAAGTTTTGGACGAAGTAGGCAGTGGGGGTGGAGCTTGGTTTATAGCTCTTTCCACCGCTCCTTTTCCTCTCATCCCCACCTCCCCTCCTCCCCTCCTCCCCTCCTCCCCTCCTCCCCTCCTCCCCTCCTCCCCTCCTCCCCTCCTCCCCTCCTCCCCTCCTCCTGTCCCCTCCCATTACCCTGAACAGGCCACCTCAAGTTCTGGAAGAAGAAGGCAGTGGGGGTGGAATTCGCAAAGCACTTCAGAGCACACCTGGGGCCGGTGGAGGGGCTTGCAGTGAGTGGGGGGGGTGCTTTATGGGTGTGATATGATAGTATGGGGGTTGTTGCTGGAGTGATTGTATCGAGCGATTGGAAGGAGAAGGCAGTGGGGGTGAAATTCGCAAAGCACTTCAGAGAGCACCTGGGGCTGCTTGAGGGGCTCGCAGTGAGTGAAGGGGGTTGCTGTTTGGGTGTGATATGATAGTACAGGGGTTGTTGCTGGAGTGATTGCATAGGGGGATTGGAAGAAGAAGACAGTGGGGGTGGAATTTGCGAAGCACTTCAGAGAGAGCACACCTGGGGCCGGTTGAAGGGGCTTGCAGTGAGTGGTGGGGGGCAGTATTGCTGGGCTTGCATGCAGTAAGTGAGCATATAGAGAAATTGCTGTTCAATATTCGATGTAGCCATCGTTGATATGATCAGCATGGTCAATCTGCTCTTCGCCCCCTCCACCCCATTCCCCCTCCTCCTTTTCCCCTACTCCCTTCCCCCTCCCCGTTTCCCCCCCTACTCCGTCCCTCTCCCCTCTTCCTTTTCCCCCTACTCCCTTCCCCCTACCCATTTCCCCCTACTCCGTCCCTCTCCCCTCTTCCTTTTCCCCCTACTCCCTTCCCCCTACCCTTTTTCTCCCTACTCCCCTCCCCTCTATTCCTTTTCCCCCTACGCCTCTCTCCCCTCTTCCTTTTCCCCTACTCCCTCCCCCTCTTCGTCCTTTCCCCCCTGCTCCACTGTTGTCGTGCCTCTTGCATCTGGTGAGTGCGGACGGCACTCTCTGCTGCACCATCTCCTTTCAAGACAAGGCAGCCAAGATATTCGATATAGCCACCTTCGATATGATCAGCATGCTCAAGCTGCCCTTCGCCCCCTCCCTCTGTCTTCCCCCTTCCCCCCACCTTCTAGGTCAGTGCGGACGGCACTCTCTGCTGCACCATAAGCTCCCAAGACAAGGCAGCCAAGATATTCGATATAGCCACCTTCGATATGATCAGCATGCTTAAGCTGCCCTTCGCTCCCTCCGCCGTCTGCTGGCTCTTCAAGCCCGATAACGCTAAAGCGAAGCTCTCTATAGCGGATAAGGACTCCCCGGATATTCATATATTTGACGCGAGGGGTGGGACGAACGAGGCGGTGGGGAGAGTGAAGGTGCACGGGGCGCCGGTGGTTGCCATGCAGTACAATACCGCGGCTGATGCTGTTGTGTCTACTGATTCGAGTGGGCTCATTGAGTACTGGAGCGCAGAGACTTACACATTCCCTTCCTCTCGGTAAGCCTTCACCCCTGCACCTGTGCGTGTTTCACATGTGTTTAATGCGGCTGGCGGGACGAACGAGGCGGTGGGGAGAGTGAAGGTGCATGGGGCTCCGGTGGTTGCCATGCAGTACAATGTTGCTGCGGATGTGGTGGTTTCCATCGACCCGTCTGGGCTCATGGAGTACTGGAGCGCAGAGACTTGCACATTTCCTGCTTCAATGTTAGGCATCAGCAAAATGCCCGGCGGCCCGGCCCGGCCCGGGTCCGGCCCGTATTTTGCCGGGCTCCGGCCACCAATCCGTGAAAACCGGCCCGACCTTAGCTGGCCCGGCCCGCTCCCGGCCCCCCTTGGCCTGCCCCCGGCCTGGATTTTGCCCCAGGCCCAGCCCGGCCCGCCCCCGGGCCAAAGCCGGCCCGCCCCCTAAAGCTGGGCAGGGCCCGGAATTTCGCAAGGTCGGCCCGACCTCGGCCCGAGGTCCGGCGGCCCCAGAAACGGGTCGGGCCAATGCTCGTGCCTATTCAAGGTACGTTGTAGGAGGTGGCAGGTGCGTGGTGTGAAGGTGAATGGATGGAGCGCCGGTGGTTGCCTGCCATGCTGTACGATACTGTGGCTGCTGCCATGCCATGCCATGCCAGTATGTGAAAAACAGGCTTATTCAGCCGGGATGGTTGCGGAAGGACCACATACTGCTGCCGCCCTCGCCCTGCTGTCAGCCCGGGCAAATGGAGCATTTGCTGACACGGACACAGTCATCATCCCTCTACGCCCTAGCAAAGGCTATCAACCCTGCTCTCTCTGCTCGTTCCTCTCTTTTCAACCAACCATCCCTCTCCCTCTCCTCTCATTCCCAACCCACCTCCTTCCAGCGTTCGCTAAGTACAAGACGGATGCAGACCTCTACGCCCTAGCAAAGGCTACCAACCCTGCTCTCTCTGCTCGTTCCTCTCTTTTCAACCAACCATCCCTCTCCCTCTCCTCTCATTCCCAACCCACCTCCTTCCAGCGTTCGCTTCAAGTACAAGACGGATGCAGACCTCTACGCCCTAGCAAAGGCTACCAACCCTGCTCTCTCTGCTCGTTCCTCTCTTTTCAACCAGCCATCCCTCTCGCTCTCCTCTCATTCCGAACCCACCTCCTTCCAGCGTTCGCTTCAAGTACAAGATTGACACGGACCTGTATGCTCTGGCAAAGGTTAAAACCACGGCGCCATCACTGGAAGTAGGTTGCCTCACTGGAAGTAGGTTGCCTCACTGGAAGTAGGTTGCATCACTGGAAGTAGGTTGCCTTCCAAGTTCCAACCAGTGCAGCATCTATCCCCTGTTCGATATCCCCTGTTCCAACCTACTTCCATCACTGGAAGTAGGTTGCATTTCAAGTTTCATCACTGATACTCCTCTCCTCCTCATCCCCTGTTCGATATCTCCTGTCACGGTTTCCACATTCCTCGTTTCGCGTCAGTGGAGGTTTTCTTTCCCTTTTTCTTTTCTGATCTAAAAAAAGAACAACCACATTCCTTGTTTCACTCCAGATTCTGCCCGATTGCATCAGTTTGTTAATCAGATCTCATTTGATGGTTACAACTTACAACTCCCACCTGTGTCACAACCCTCCTTCCTCCTCCCTTCCCCTCCTGCCCTCCTTCCCGTCCTCAGATCCCCAGATGGTTCCCAGTTCACCACAGTATCTCCCGGCAGCCGCATTCGGGTCTTCTGGTTCGGCACTGGCGAGCTGAGAATTGCCTTTTCCCCCTCTCCCACCCCACCCTCTCTTTCTGCCTCCTCCCCGTTCTCCCCTTATCAGATATCCCCAGATGGTTCCCAGTTCGCCACAGTATCACCGGACCGGCGCATTCGGGTCTTCTGGTTCGCCACGGGCAAGCTCAGGCGGACCTATGACGAATCTTTGGAGGTACATGAGCTCTTTTTTTTTTTTTCTCCCTTTTAAAGCGAGAGGTCAAAATAGTGAAGGAGGGTCCAACTTGAAAAGGCCTAGACATCCGTTTTTGCGACTAAGGGACAAAACTGCAACGGGGCAGAGGGTACACTGTCGAGAAATGCAAGCAGGGGAAACCGGGCGAGAAGATGCAGTTACCTGATTGGTTGGCGGGGAAAGCATGACGAGCGGTGGGGAAAATGGCTCGGGCAAAATCGCAAGCAGCACGCGACCTGTCGCCCAGCCCCCACCCCACTGCCTGTAAGCTGCACCAAGTGGGCCCAACTTGAATTTCAAGTTGGACCCGGGTTCACTACTCCAGCAAAACTGAGGCTGGGCCCCGATTGGTTGAAATGCTAACCACGCAAATCTATGGTCGTAGATTTTGTCGCCAGTGCGAAATGTCGCAAGCGCAATTCGATTCGTGGCCTACGGCTTGGTAAAAAACGGGGGCTGCTGCCCGCCCCTCCAAAAAACATATTCACTGTTGGGTCGTTTCTAGTTGGGCCCAACTAGAAGGGGGGGTCACTATTATAGTCTCTCGCTTTAAGAAGACAAGTTGATGCTAGTGTGGGCGGATGGTTCGCAACACGCATGCTCAGGCGGGCTTATGACGAATCGGTGACATGATCATGCTTCTATATGTATATGACGTGTATACTGTTTCAGTTAAGTTGGTCTCTGCAGGCAGCACAGGAGCTTCAAAGGGGGGTGACGTGCCTCTGTATCGGCTAGACGCGATCGATTTCGGGAGGAGATCAGCGGTGGAGAGGGATATGGAGCGGTGGAGAGGGAGAAGGACAACAACGAGGTGCCGACGTGGGGTGGTTGCTATCTCCTTGACGAACAAGCCTCTATTTACTCCCACTCCAACTGTTTTTCAAACCACACAGGTAGCACCGTAGCACGGGAGCTCCAAAGGGGAAAGGTCAAACCACGCAACTTTATCGGCTAGGCGCGATTGATTTCGGGAGGAGATTAGCGGTGGAGAGGGAGATGGAGAAGGATGATGATGTGCCGATGCCTAATGCTGTCTTTGACTTGATAATCCGGGCTTCGCACACTCCCATGAAGGAAATAGCTTGGAAGAGAAAAGATTGATTGAGTAGGGAGCCAAGAGGCTCTTTTGTACAAAACAAGGAGCAAGGAAGAGTTGGAAAGGGAGCTCTCCTATTGGCCATAAAGTGGACCAATGGGAGAGGTTGCTTGTAAGGCAAGCAACCACAAAGTGTGGTGCTCTCTGATTGGCCACAATGTGGGCCAATGAGAGAGATTGCTTGGAAGGCAAGCAACCACAAAGTGTGGTGCTTGGTGATTGGTTGGTTCCTAGGACCAAGGACCATTTGGTTGGAATAATGCCAACCAAATGTCTTAGACCAAATCCAATCTTGACCAACCCAAATGTGGGGTTGGTCAACCCAACCAACAACCCCCCAATATTTATAATGACTACACCTCCTAATCTAGGCATGCATGTTGTATAGATATATATTTTACAACACAACCCCCCAACATGCATAAGACTAGAGGGCTTGAATCAGGAGGTGGACGAGGGAACAGGGGGAGCGAGTCCAAGAAGGCGAAGGAGGGATGAGTGGGCGGCGTGGGGGAGGGCTTTGGTGAAGATGTCGGCAAGATTGGCAGCAGAGTCAATCTTGCCCAGTTGGAGGTGGCCACCCTGCACAAGCTCGCGAATGAAGTAGTGGCGAAGCTCAATGTGCTTGGAGCGTCCGTGGAACACGGCATCCTTCGTGAGGTGGATGGTGCTGGCGTTGTCGCACCAGATGGTGGGACAGCGCTGAGGGGCACCAAGCTCCTCAAGAAGGAAGGAGAGCCAGCGGGCTTCCTGCGCAGCCATGGTAGCGGCATACAGCTCCGCTTCGCAAGAGGAGAGGGTAATGGAGGAGGAGCGGGTGGAGCGCCAGCTGATGAGGCCACTGCGAAGAGAGAAGCCATAGCCCTGAGAGGAGCGGCGGTCAGGCCTAGAGTCAGCCCAGGAGGAATCAGAGTAGCCAGTGAGGAGGGGAGGGGAGGGGCCGCCAAGGGTAAGGACGTAGTTCTTGGTCCCCCGAAGGTAGCGGAGGACACGCTTTGCCGCTTGCCAATGGGCGGCATCATGCTTGCCGGTACCAACGAAGCGGACCATAACGCTGATGGGGTATGCCAGGTCAGGGTGGGTGGAGACCATGGCATACATGAGAGAGCCGATGAGCTCAGCGTAGGGGTGGGAGGAGGAGGAGGGGGAGGTGAGGGGAGTGAGGTGGTGCCCAACAGGAAGAGGGGTGACCTGAGGGGTGCCTCGAGCCATGTCGAACCGCTCCAGGACCTGCTGCAGGTAGTGGCCCTGGGAGAGGGAGATGGTGCGAGCAGCACGGTCGCGGGTAATCTCCATGCCGAGATAGTGCTGCAGCTCCCCTAGATCCTTACACTTGAGCCGACCGCCAAGCTCACGCTTGACGCGCTCGAGCTCGGTGGAGTCGGCAGTGATGAGGATCATATCGTCGACATAGACGAGGATGTAGAAGGGGGAGGGGGAGGTGCGGAGGAAGAGGCTGGGGTCGGCGCGGGAGGTGCTGAAGCCAAGCTCGGCGAGGGTGGCAGCAGGCTTGGCATGCCACTCCCTTGGTGCCTGCTTGAGCCCATAGACTGGTCGACGCAGCTGCCAGACAGAGTCGGAAGGAAAGGGGAGGTGGAAGCCTGCAGGACGCTCCATGTAAATGAGCTCGCGCAAGACCCCTTGGAGGAATGCGTTGGAGACGTCCATGGAGTGAATCTCCATGTTGAGGCGAGCTGCGAGGTCGAGGACTGCGCGAATGGTAGCGGGCTTGGCGGTGGGAGAGAAGGTGTCGAAGAAGTCGACAGTGTAGCGCTGGGTGAAGCCCTTGGCGACGTAGCGGGCCTTGTAGACCGGCGGCTCGCCAGGAAGCTGCTTCACCCGAAACACCCACTTCCCTTTGACCACGTTCGTGGTAGAGGGAGGGCGGGGCACATCCACAAAGGAGGAGTTGGCAATAAACGCCTCCAACTCCTTGAGGATGGCTGCGAGCCAGAGGTGAGCGTCAGGGCACGCCATGGCCTCCTCGTACGTGGCGGGGACGAAGATGGTGGGGGCGGAGGAGAAGGCGAAGACTGGTGTGCCGCTGAGGTCAGGGGAGATGGGTAGGAGGGCTGGATCATGCAGGTGGAGGTTGAGGAACTCCTCATGGGAGTCCTCGAGGAGGGAGGAGTGGAAAATGAATGGGAGGACTGCAGCTGCTGCGGCTGCTGCTGCTGAGGATGCATGTGCTGCTGCTGCTGCTGAGGCGGCTGCTACTGCTGCATCTGCTGCCGCCGCTGCTGCTGCTGCGGGTGAAGGCGAGGAAGGAGCGACGGCTGCTGCTGGTGCTGCTGCGGTGGGTGGAACTGCTGCTGCAGCTGTTGCTGCTGCTGTTGGGACTGCTGTACTGGAGCTCGACGGCAGGGTTGGGCTAGTGTTTTGTTGTAAGACTGTCTGTAAAAGGAAGTCCATGAGAGGGGAGAGTGGAGGCAAGGTAGAGGAAGAGAGGATAACAGGAGGCGGGGCACCTAGGACTGCGTCACGCGACCTGGTGTGGGGATACCGGGTGAGGATGGAGCGGGTGGGACGCAGGGGGGGAGGGGGTCGCGGGGGAGAGGGGGGAGGAGGGGAGGGGGGAGGATGGGAGGGAGCGGAGGGGGAGGAGTGGGACGGGGAGGCGGGGGAAAAAAAGGGTCAGGGTCAAATATGTCACCAGAGGTGGGGGGAGCACTAGGGATCGAGGCAGCAGGGAATGGAGGAGGTGGAGCGGGGGGGAGGATGGGAGGGGGAGGGAGAAGAGGGGGTGGGATAGTGTCGGACCACGTGAGGGGCCTGGGAGCAGGGGCGAGAGGGTCAGTGGGGGGAGGAGTGGAATAGTAGGGTGTGGACTCATCAAAGACTACATCCAGACTGCGGAAGAAACGACCTGAGGGGGAGTGAAGGAAGAGGTAGTTCGGGGAGGAGGGATTATGACCAAGGAAGATGCAGGGGAGGGTACGGGAGGCGAGCTTTCCCATGGTGCGGGGGCGGTCCGCAGGGTGAATGAGGACATACGCCCTGGAGCCCCACACACGGAGGGAGGAGACGTCAGGCTTGGCCGACGTCCAGAGCTCGGTGGGAGTGGTGGAGGGAAGAATAGGGTGGGGGTATAGGTTAGTAAGGAGGGTGGCGTGAAGGAGGGCATAGCCCCAGAGAGAAGGGGGGCAAGAGGCATGGACGAGGAGACACCGAGCAATCTTGGTGATCTCCCGAACACGGCTCTCGGCCACACCATTCTGCTGGGGGGAGTGGGGGAGGGTGTGAGTCTGGCGAATGCCATGAAGCTCACAGTAGGAGGCTACCTGGCGGTTAAGGAATTCGCCACTGCCATCAGAGTGAAGGCGGCGCACAGGGCGGCCAAAGTGGGTGCTCGCCTGCTTGAGCCAGGCGACGATCGCAGCCGGAGCGTCACCCTTCGAGCGAAGAAGGGAGACGGACGAATATCGGCTGTGATCATCGACCAGAACAAGCATGTAGCGATGGCCCTGGCGGGAAGGGGAGGGGTTGGGGCCCCAGAGGTCCATGTGAACAAGATCAAGCGGCTGAGCAGCAGCGGAGGGGGAACTCCGATGCGGCAACTGCTTGAGCTTGCTCTGGACACAGACGGAGCAGGGAGGGGCAAGGGAGGGAGGGAGGGGAGGGAGGGTGAGGGGAAGACCTCGAAGGAGACCTGAGGAGACGGTCGAGCGGAGGGTGGCAAAGTTGGGGTGACCAAGCCTGTGGTGGAGGAGGACGGTGGGATGGGAGAGGGATCGACAGGAGCAGGTTGGGTCAGGGGGGAGGGGGGGAATGGTTGGGTTAGAAGAAGGGAGAGGAGGGGGAGGGATGTGAGGTGGGGGGAGGGAGCGGGAGACTGTCTGGGCAGAGGGAAGACGAGGAACCCGAAGGGTATATAGGCGGGAGCGAGGACAAAAGGGAATACGGGAGAGGAGGCGACCTGTGGGATGGTATAGGAGGCAGTGATTAGCGCGACCTGGGAAGACGGTGGTGATACCAGCCTGCTGAAGGGATCGCTGGGAGAGGAGGTTAGTACGGAGGGAGGGGATGTGTAAACGAGTGACGGTACCTGAGGGGAAGAGGGGACAGGGGAGGGTAGAGGTGTGGCAACAGGGAATAGAGAAGCTGGAATCGGCACCAAGGAGGGAGGTGGGGGCTGGGAGGGGGTGAAGGGTACCAGCATCACGAAGGACGGACTCGGTGGCTCCACTGTCAAGTACAAAGTCCAGCGTGGTGGAGGGGGGAGGATGTGGGGGAGGAGGTGGGACGGAGTAGTGAATCACATTCTCATTAATAGCAGCCGAATACATAGAAGGGGCGGGGGTTCCAGCCTGACTAACCATGCCAACAAAACCAGAGGAGAGGAAAGGAGTCACACTGCCTGTGGCTGAGGGCGCGGGAGACGCGCCCGAGAGGTGAGCTGCGGAAGCGGCGGTGCTGGCGGTCCAAGCGGGGTAGGGCTGCTGGGGGGGAGCCATAGGAGGAGGTGCAAGGGGGAGCTGCGACTGGAGGTCAAGCTGCTGCTGGAGTTGCTGGAGCTGCTGCTGCAACTGGGATAAGAGGTGCTGCTGCCCCTGCTGCTGCTGCTGCTGGAACTGCTGCTGCTGCTGCTGGAACTGCTGCTGCTGCTGCTAGAACTGCTGCTGCTGCTGCTGAAACGGCTGCGGTAGGATCCGCTGCGGAGTCTGCTGCTGCTGCTGTTGCTGAGAGACGGCCTGGTGGGCCAAGGGGGAGGAGACGGGCTGGAAAAGAGGGGAGGTACGAACCTCTTGAGGAGTGGGGCGAGGGGAGAGGGAGGACCAGCGGGGGGGGGTGCCGGTGTTGCCGCGGGCAAACCACTCATCACTTAGCGCTTTGAAGCAAGAGTCAGTGGCATGAGTGGTCTGGCCGCATCGCTGACCCCGCGTGGGGCCATAGCGAGGGAGATACTGACAAGGAGGAAAGGCGGCTGCTGCACCACGTCCTGCGCCGTTGCCACCACGACCCGCACCACCACCACGACCAGCGCCACGCCCACCCCCGCGCCCTCCCCTGGTGTTGCGCTGCTGAGCAACAGCGGCAGTTGAGGAGGAATGGCGCAAGAGGTCGGCTTCGGTGGTGATAATCCACTGGGCGACTTCAGCTGGGGTGATGCGCTTGTCGATCAGCTGCATGTAGGCGATCTTATGGGTGTCGAAGGCAGGAGTCAAGCCTTCAAGGAGGTGGCAGCAGAGCACTGGGTCCGGGTACGGCACGCCAAGAGCCGCCAGGCGCCGAGCAAGGTCGAGGACGCGACGCGTGAAGGCAGCTGCGCCGTGGTAGAGTCCATGGTGAGGCTCTGGAACTCCTTGATGAGGGAGTAGAGGGTGGCAACGTCCTGCCGATCATAGAGATCGGTGAGGAGGCGCCAGAGGTGGGAGGAGGAAGTGGGAGCAAGCTCGCGCTTGAGGGTGGGAGGAATGGTGGCGAGGAGGACGGTGAGCGCGCGCCAGTCTGCAACACGCCAGGCGGCGAGGTCGGTGATGTATGCGCGCTCGCGCCTGACGTACTCCGCGAGCTCCGCCTAATATGTGTTGTAGGCGGCAGTGGCAGCGTCATGCTCGGCGCGGGAAGCCTCGAAGAGCAGCTGCTGGCGGACGTGGTCGGTGAGGCCGGCACGGTAGGTGCGAATGGCGGTCTCGGAGCTCTGAGGGTCGTTGACGTCAGGGGCGAAGGTTGGAGGATCGCCAGGGCTGACGGGAGCATCGCCAGGAGGAGGAGATGCAGGGCCCGCGGGAGCAATCGGCTGGGCAGGCTGAAGACCGCGTTCCTCGAGATGGACAACGGCTTTCAGGTTGTAGCCGTTGACCGTCATCGAGGAGAGAAGCACCGTGACGGTTTGGGCATTGGAATGCCAATTGACCGCGGTGTTGTCGGGCAGCAGCTCAAGAGCGTCGACGGAGGTAAGGTCCACCGAGGAATCGGACGCCATTGAGGAGGAGGAGGGGAAGGAAGGGGGGGGGGGGGGGGGGGGGGAGGAGGAGAAGGAAAGGAGGAGGAAAAAGGAAAGGAGGAGGAGAAGGAAAGGAGGAGGAAAAGGAAAGGAGGAGGAGAAGGGGGAGGGAGGAGAAGGATAGGTGCGCGGAGCGCAGCTCTTAAGTCGTCGAGCTGCGCGACACGCTCCAAGGATGGATGCGGCGACGGACGGCCGCGCGCGGTCGGCGAAGCGACGACGGACAGCCGCACGCGACGGTGGCGAAATCGGCGACGGCTGCGGCGGCGAGCACGTTCGCGATGGACGGATTCGTCGGCGGGTGCACGCGAGTGCCGCGACGAACAGGCACGTGGTGCGAGAGCGCGACGAACGGGTGCGCGCGGTGGCGGAGGGCGCACGACGGGAGGACGCGACGACGAACCGCGCGAGGAGGAAAAGGGCGTCGAAAGACGCGAGGGGAGGTGCGCAACGGAAGGGAGAGCGGGCACGATAGGAGGCGCGCGACGGGAGAGAGAGTGTGCGCGATGGGAGATCGCGTCGGGAGAGGGCGCACGGACGGCGCGCGAAATAGCCTAAGAAGGGCTAGGCTTCGATGACGAGGAGGGACGTCATAGGGCCGTGCTAGTTAGGATCGACTAGAGGTGGCGTGAGCCATTGTGGCTCTGAATAACATGAAGGAAATAGCTTGGAAGAGAAAAGATTGATTGAGTAGGGAGCCAAGAGGCTCTTTTGTACAAAACAAGGAGCAAGAGTTGGAAGGGAAGCTCTCCTATTGGCCATAAAGTGGACCAATGGGAGAGGTTGCTTGTAAGGCAAGCAACCACAAAGTGTGGTGCTCTCTGATTGGCCACAATGTGGGCCAATGAGAGAGATTGCTTGGAAGGCAAGCAACCACAAAGTGTGGTGCTTGGTGATTGGTTGGTTCCTAGGACCAAGGACCATTTGGTTGGAATAGTGCCAACCAAATGTCTAAGACCAAATCCAATCTTGACCAACCCAAATGTGGGGTTGGTCAACCCAACCAACAACCCCCCAATATTTATAATTACTACACCTCCTAATCTAGGCATGCATGTTGTATAGATATATATTTTACAACATCCCACCCATCCACACAGGCAGCACAAGAGCTCCAAAGAGGAGACGTGCCGCTCTATCGTCTCGACGCGATTGACTTTGGGAGGCGACTGGCGGTGGAGAGAGAAATGGAGCGGGAGAGGGAGAAGGATGATGATGTGCCAACGCCCAATGCCGTCTTTGACGAGACAGGCAACTTCATCATTTACCCAACACTTTTGGGGATAAAGGTGAGCGGTTGTCATCAGTGCAATGGAGCGCGAGAGGGAGCGGGAGAGGGAACGGGAGAGGGAGCGGGAGAGGGAGTGGGAGCGGGAGAGGGAGCGGGAGAAATGTTGCCCTCCGTCCACCCTTCAGCCATTTGACTGAGACGTCTCAAACCACGTCTCTTATCATACAGATACGCCATGCCCCATCTCCTCCTACCCCCCCTCCTCTGCTCCTTTTTCCTCATTGCCATTGGGACAAGAGAGCAAGGCCACCTAATGTCACGGTTTTACACGAGAAAAAGGCAGCTAGGGTCCTAACAGGTCACAACAAGTTCAACTCTTTCTCCCCCTCCCCCCCCCCTCCCCTCCCTCCGCCCTTCCCCCCCCTCCCCTCCCTCCGCCCCTTCCCCATCGCTCCCCTTCCCTGTCCCCCTCTGTATAGGTCGTGAACCTACATGAGAAGAAGGTGTTTTGAGAATTCTAAAAAATAGAGAATACCCTGCAAACTAGAGAATTCTAAAGAATACCCTCCCCCCCTTCCCCATCGCTCCCCTTCCCTGCCCCCCTCTGTGTACAGGTTGTGAACCTACATGAGAACAAGGTGTCTTGAGAATTCTAAAAAATACCCTGCAAACTAGAGAATTCTAACAAATACCCTGCAAACTAGAGATTTCGAAAAAATGCCCTGCCCCCTTCCCCATCGCTCCTCTTCCCTGCCCCCCTCTCTGTGCAGGTTGTGAACCTACATGAGAACAAGGTGTATTCAGAATTCTAAAAAATACCCTACAAAACTAGAGAATTCTTAAAAATACCCTGCCCCCTTCCCCATCGCTCCTCTTCCCTGCCCCCCTCTCTGTGCAGGTTGTGAACCTGCATGAGAACAAGGTGGCTCGCATCTTGGGGAAAGTGGAGAGCAACGAGCGGTTTTTGCGCCTGGCGCTGTACCAGGGGGGCAAGGCGGCGAGGCGGATAAGGAAGATAGCGTCCATCGCCAACTCGCAGGACGCTAAAGGCGGGCCGTCGGTGGATCCCACCGTTGTTGCATGCGCCTTCAAGAAACACCGCTTCTACCTCTTCAGGTCGGACTCCAGGTGGTTCAGGTGCTGCCACAGGCGCTGCCTCAGGTGCTTCAGGTGCCTCAGGTGCCTCAGGTGCTTCAGGTGCTTCAGGTGCTTTAGGTGTTCAGATCCTTCAGGTGCTCGCCCTGAACTCGTCAGTTTACATCCTCCCTTTCACCCTGCAGTCTACCATTTCGCAGTCAGTGCGAGCCAGAGAGGGCAGGAGCGTGTTCAACCAGAAGCCGCCGCCACCGCCTGTAGAGATGCTGACCCGGACCCCTTCCATCCCCTCCGCCCCTCTCCACCCCTCTGCACTCCCATCCACCCCACCTGCAGCCAGCGCGAGCCAGAGGAGGGCGAGGAGCCGTCTCAAGGAAGGGACGTGTTCAACGAGAAGCCACCGCCCGAAGAGATGCTCGCTCTTGCTGATGTTGCGAGAACCAGTGCCTCGGCCTTACCTGACAGTGTGGTGAGCACTTGGGCCGTGTGGTGGGTGTGGTGCTAGTGATGAGTGGCGGTTTGGTGTCTTATTATTTCGAAGTGTGAGTTGGAAGGGCTGTTTAGGTCGACACGAGCAGCCGAGTCGAGTCTTGACTCGACTCTCCGACTCGACTCGATTCACCCATCTCTCACCCATCTCTCACCCATCTCTCACCCATCTCTCACCCATCTCTCACCCATCTCTCACCCTTCTCTCGCGCCACTCATCGTCTCAGATGTTTCGGAAATAAAGAGTGCCCTGGAGTGGTCGAAGCCTTCACTGCGCGCTGCAGCAACGGGTGCTAAGACAGACGGGTGCTACTAAGACAGACCGGTGCTAAGACAGACGGGTGCTAAGACAGACGGGTGCTAAGACAGACGGGTGCTAAGACAGACGGGTGCTAAGACAGACGGTTGCTAAGACAGACGGGTGCTAAGACAGACGGGTGCTAAGACAGACGGGTGCTAAGACAGACGGGTGCTAAGACAGACGGGTGCTAAGACAGACGGGTGCTAAGACAGACGGGTGCTAAGACAGACGGGTGCTAAGACAGACGGGTGCTAAGACAGACGGGTGCTAAGACAGACAGGTGCTACTAAGACAGACGGGTGCTACTAAGACAGACGGGTGCTACTAAGACAGGCTGCCATCCCACCTTCATTCCGGCACCCGCCTTATCCGCCCCTCTCACTCCCCCAGGTCATTCACACACCATGGGCGCCATCCAATTTTTTAGGCGCCTCAAAAAAATTTGAGGCGCCTCAAAAAGCCATCCAATTTTTGAGGCGCCTCAAAAAGCCATCCAATTTTTTAGGCGCCTCAAAAATCCTCTCACTCCCCCTGGTCATTCACACACACCACCTCACCCATCTCTCCCACCGTGGGCGCCATCCATCTCAAGCTCCTCCCACTAAAGTGCCCTCGGTCAGTTGAAAACTTCATAACGCACTGCGGGCACTGCGACGGGCCCATCTTCCACCTCCCCATCTTCCCTCTTCCCTGCTATTTCTCCCCCTCCTCCGCAGGTCGTGCACACAACCATGGGCGTCATCCACCTGAAGCTCCACACTGAAGAATGCCCCCGACCCGAACTGTTGAGAATTTCACCACACATTGCGGCACCTGGTACTATGACGGCCTGCTGTTCCACCGCGTGATCAAGGGCTTCATGGTGCAGACGGGTACAAGAGAGAGGGGCTCATCTTTCTCCTCCTTTCTCCACCTTTCCGCCTCCTTTTTTTTTTTCTGCTCTCTCCCCCAGATCATGCACACCTTCACCTCAAGCTGTACACAAAGGAGTGCCCCAGAACGGTTGAAAAATTCTCCACGCGCTGCGGCAACGGGTACTACGACGGGCTGTTGTTCCACCGCGTGATCAAGGGCTTGATGGTGCAGACGGGGTGCCAAATAGGGGGCTCATTTGCCACCTCCCTTTTGCACCTTTCCCCCTCGTTTTCCCGACTCTCCCCCCCTGCAGGTCGTGCACACCACTATGGGCGACATCCACCTGAAATTGTATACGGAAGAATGCCCCCGCACTGTCGAGAATTTCACCACGCACTGCGGCAACGGGTACTACGACGGGCTGCTGTTCCACCGCGTGATCAAGGGCTTCATGGTGCAGACGGGGTGCCCGTTGGGCGACGGCACGGGCGGCCAGAGCATCTGGGGGGGAGAGTTCGAGGACGAGTTCCACAAGAGGTGGGTGGAGGAGTGTGTGTTTGTGTGAGAGCATAGGGGGAAACTGAGGGAGCAGCACTCAGAGGGCAATTGAGGCGGTGGGAAGGGGTGGAGAGAATTGGGGGGGGAGGGGGAAGGGCAGGAGTTTACACCAAATGACGCCTGAATGCTTCTGGGGCAACGATTTTGAGGAGTTGGAGGGTGGTCTTCTTAAGAAGCGGGCTGGATATGTGTGTGTTATGTGTGGGAGACGGGGGAAGGGGGATGAGGGGGGGAGAAGAGACGGGGCTGGTGTCTGTGTCTGTGTCTGTGCTTCTCCTTCCCTCCCCCCATTCTCCCCTGCAGTCTGCGCCACGATCGCCCGTTCACTCTATCGATGGCCAACGCTGGCCCCAACACCAGCTGCACCGGCTTTTCATCGCCACTGCTTCCTCTCCGTAGCTCCATCTCATCCCCTTTCTTTTCACCCCCCCTGGCCCCCTGTTCTCCCCTGCAGTCTGCGCCACGATCGCCCGTTCACTCTATTGATGGCCAACGCTGGCCCCAACACCAGCTGCAACCGGCTTTCCATCGCCACTGCTTCCTCTCCATAGCTCCATCTCATCCCCTTTCTTTTCACCCCCCCTGGCCCCCCGTTCTCCCCTGCAGTCTGCGCCACGATCGCCCGTTCACACTATCAATGGCCAATGCCGGCCCCAACACCAATGGCAGCCAGTTTTTCATCACCACTGTTGCAACGCCTTGGCTGGACAACAAGCACACTGTGTTCGGACGCGTGGTTAAGGGGATGGATGTTGTACAGGTGAGGAGGGGGTTAGGGGGGGGGAGGGGGGCAGGAGGTTGGCACTGTGTATGCATGGGTTTGTTCGTCACCACTGTTGTTGAGGCGTCTATTTTTTAGGCGCCTCAAAATCAGGGGGGGGGGGGCAGGAGGTTGGCATGGCACTGTGTATGCATGGGGTTTGTTCATCACCTCTGTTGCAACGCCTTGGCTGGACAACAAGCACACTGTGTTCAAACGAGTGGTGAAGGGCGTGGATGTTGTACAGGTGAGGGGGAAGGGGGGTTTGGGTGAGCAAAAGGGATTGCACCTTGTATGTATGGGTTTTCTAATCTCCCCTGTTGCCACGCCCTGCCTCGACAACAAGCATGGTGTGTTCGGGCATGTGGTTGAGGGGAATTTGTTTCTAGACTCTCTGCTGGTTATTCGATGCACAGGGTAGATGGTGCATGGCTCACGGTGCATGGCTCACGGTGCATGGCTCACGGTGCATGGCTCATGGCGCATGGCCCATGGTGCATGTTCTAGGGTCTTTCTTGATGTAACGGTCTTTGAGACAATGCCATGCATGGCGACTGGTGCACCATGAACCATGCACCATGATAACTATGATTATTGTAGTCATTTCCGTTCTCTCCTCTTCTCTCCCATCCCCTCTTCCCCCTTCTCCCCCCTCCTCCCCTTTTCTCCCCCCTCCTCCCCCCTTCTCGCCCTCTTCCCTCTCCCCTCTCTCCCCCGCAGCTCATTGAGAAGGCCAAGGTGGACCGTAACGACAAGCCTTACGAAGATATTAAGATTCTTAACGTTACCGTGCCTAAGTAGGGCCTTTCCTGCGTGCTGATTGATGAATTTTGCTCTGGTTTACTTACGCTGGACCGCAACTATTACTTTAACTGGAAGTTATAGCTTTGTAACGAAGAATTGAATTGTCCTCTCCTCACTGAAAGCAACGCTATCTTCTACAGTGGCATGAGGAAAGGTGTGGTGTTTGCCCATGTCGAATGAAACACACACGGAAAGCAGGTGCAAAGAGCAGAGCAGTTTCCTCTCCAGTTTCCTTACCGATTTCCTTCCCAGTTTCCTTTCGATAGTACACTACACAGCAGGGCTTATCTTTGGTTTTTCACCACTCTGATTTTCGCGAGTGACTCCTGACCTAACTCTGACTTTCAGAGTGCCCTGGAGGTTGAACTCTGATTTGTCAGGGTTTTTTCACACTTTTCACATAAATACTCTGATTTCTAGGATTTATGCCCCCAGGTTATTTCGCACCATTCTTCCTTTCCTCGGAAGGGGTCCACATTAGCATTAGGGCGTGTTTCTGGCCGCTGGTCAAGCTTCTATTACAGTCACTCTGTGAGTGATGCCTGCTTCTCTCAAGAGTTCAGCAAAGCTGCCTTGGAACTCCGTGCCTTGATCTGTCAGCACTTCCCCGCAGGCGCCATATCTGGTGAGTACTTGATCCAGAAATGCCTCCCTTATCAACCCGCTGTTCTTGCTGGCGATGGCTCTTGCCTCCACCCACTTGGTCGTGTGCTCTATCATCACCACTATGTACATCTTCCCTCGTCTGGATAATGGTAGTTCACCGGCCAGGTCCAAGGACCACCTGAATCCCAAGCCCCGTATGGGCAGAGACTGCAGTTCTTCCCTTCCCTTCTCCAGTGCTGCCTTGTTCCGCTGACATGCCTCGCACCCCTGCACCCACTTCGCTACGTCTCTTCTCATCCCTGCCCACCAGTAAGTGGTTTGTAATAGCTGTCTAGTCCTGGCTCCCCCATAATGCCCCAGCTTCTCATGCACTTGCTGTACGATACGCTCTCTCTCTTCCGGCTTCGGCACCATCTTCCATCCCTCTGTCGTCCGCAGCTGCATCTGACTCTGAAACCACCGGTAGTGTCCTCCTCTACACCTCGCTCTCGCCGTCACTGCTGCCGCATCCTCTGTCAGCCCTTGCACCCAGTGCAATGTCTCCTTGTCTTGCCAGATGTCCTCTGCTCTTTGCTCCTTCGCCTCTTGTGCCAGATCTTTCTCTCCCTGCTGCATTGCGGCTGCCGCCCATTGCTGTTCCTCTTCGGGTGGAGGGTTTCTGGACAGACCATCAGCATGTTGCAGCGTCTTGCCCGCGCGGTGCTTGATGACAAAATCGTATTCTTGCAATCTCATTGCCCATCGTGCATTCCGCCCCGTCAGCGTCTGGTTAGTCATCAGCCATAAGAGCGGCTGGTGGTCTGTTACTAACGTGAATTTGCGCCCTTGCAAGTAGGCCCTGAAGTGGGTTACTCCCCACACTGCTGCCAATCCTTCACCCTCGTATGAACTGTAGTTAGCTTCCGTTGCTGTACAGCTTCGACTGGCGTACGCCACCACTCGTTCTTCTCCTCCCAACTCTTGACACAGTACGGCTCCCATGCCCATGCTGCTCCAATCCGTGTAGATTGTGAATGGCGCGTCTTTCTTTGGCAGCTGCAGAACCGTCCCTGCCTTGATGGCCTCTAACAGGTCTCTTCTTGCCTGCTCCTCTTCTGGTCCCCACTTCCATGCCTGCCCCTCCCTCAGCAGTTGATTCAGCTTATATGCTCTCTTGCTGAAGTTCGGGATGAAGCGCCGGTAGTAGTTCAAGAACCCCAGGAGTGCTCTCAGGGCTCCCTTGTCTTTTGGTGCCCCCAGCTTGTCCAGCACCGCTACCTTGGCCTCTTGGATCCCCATCTTCCCGCCTTGCACCTCAAATCCCAGGTAGGCCACCGTCTTTCTGGCTATTTTGCACTTCTCTGGATGGCAGGTCAGCCCTGCGGCTGCTATAGCATCCAGTGTTGCCTTCAGGTGTTCAGCATGCTCTTCTTTGCTTCTGCTGAAAATCACCACGTCATCTATGTAGCATGCTGCTGCTGGCACTGTCTTCAGCACTTGATCCATGACTCTCTGAAACACGGCTGATGCGTTCCTCAGCCCAAACGGCATCACGTTCCATTCATATAGGCCATCAGCTCCATGGAAGGCCGTCTTGCCTTTGTCTCCTTCTTTTATCGCTATCTGGTTGAATCCCTGCCGTATATCTAAAGTCGAGAATATGACCGCGCCTTCTAGCTTGTCAAAGATCTCCTCTGCAGTTGGCATGCTATATCAGTCGGCTCTCGTTACTCGATTGAGTTCTCGGTAGTCGTCGCACATTCTTCTCGCCAGCACCTCTCAGTGAGATCTGTCCTTGCTGCTACCACTGTCGCTGCTGCGTAGGCTGAGTTAGAAGGGCGTATCAGCCCCGCATCCAGTAGTTCTTTGCTTTTGCTTCGGCAGATCTCTTCATCTCCCGGGCTCATCCGTCGTCTCCGCTGGTAGATGGGCACTTCGGTCTCCAGCGGTAGCTCTAGCTCTTGCAGCGTACACTTCCCCAGGTCTTGCAAGGTGTAGGCGAAGGTCTTGCGATGACTTTCTAGGACTTGCTGTATTGCTGTTGCTACCTTGATGTCAAGTTCCAGGCTCAGCTCCCACGTTTTCTCTCTCTCCTTCTTTGGCTCCTCCCCCTTCTTCTTGTCCATCGCTTCGCCCTGCTTTTATTCTTGCGTCAGGTAAGCCCAGCTTAGTTTGATCGGCTTACTTCCCCCTTCTACTGGCCGTCGGCTCGGCTCTCGTTCGTGTCGCGGCTGCATCATTTCCTTCAGCAGCCATTGTAAGGCATGTTGATCCATTGCTCTTCCCAAGGCGGCCCTGCGCTCTTGCTCCCTCACTCCTCGTGCTGCAGTTGCCCCCGGTAGGTATCCCATAGCTAACTCTCGCTCGATCGCTGTCGGCTCCTCCCACTGCCCTTTCTCCCTATCGTAGACCATCCCTGGACCTGGCTTGCCGTCTTCCAACACGAACCCCCGAGCTCCCTCGTAGGCCACTAGGGTGGGCCAGGCCCTTCTCGGCTCGCCCAACTTGTTGCATTGCAGCTGCTTCGGGTGATCTCTTTTTTCTACAGGGGCTGCTGTCCTTCCTGGCTCCAGGATGTCATCTACTAGGAGTCGGGTGTCTCTCCTCAGGTCTGCTAATTCTTGCTTCAGCTTCTCTGGCTCCACTCCATTTTGCCAATATCTCCTTACCCGGTGAGCCCTGGCCCCGTTCAGTGCCACATCCCAACTTACGCCTGCCCCCAGTTCCGCTACCACCTTCTCTTGCGTTGCCCTTATTGGTTCTCGCGGGTCCCCCTCCATGTCGACGTGCTCCACCACATAGCAGCATCTCGATCCCCCTTCCTGGATCCACTTCAAGACTTGCAGGAGCTCATCCAGTAGCGCCGTGCGAGCATCTCCCATTCCTCGCCCTTTTCCGGCTCTCGAGGTACCTTGGCACTCCCAGCCCGCCACTACCAGGTCCACTTGACCCCATCCCCATACGGTTGCTTCGTTCAGTTGTCTCATGTCCCATGCTCCTTCCTTTTTCGCCTCCTCAATCACGGCCTTACTTATCTGTCCCAGATATCTCATCAGCAACTGGTCTGCATGATGCCAGGCCATGCGCCTGGCCTTAGGGTCTATCTCCACGAGTATCCACTTTTGCACGACCAATCCGGCTTCTAGCGCCGCTGCCAACCCTGCTCCTATTCCTCCAAAGAGCTCCACTATAGTGATCGGCTTCTCCCCCAGCGTGGCTCCCTTCGGCTGCCTGAGTGATTCCATCCTGTCTCTTTCTGCCGCTTTCTTGCCCCCTGCCATTTTCTCCTCCTTTGCCCTTTGTACTGACTCCGTGGCTCTCAGGGCCTTCTTTGGCTCCATCTTCACAAACCGCACCGGCAACTCTCCCTGTTCTCCGCCTTCTCTCCAATATTCGGTCCTGAAGCTCAGCTTCTCTCCCCATGCATCAATTTGCGCCCCTATCTTGTAAATCAGCTCCATCCCCACCAGCAGGTCGTAGTCTTCGGACTCGGACAGCCCGCACTGTACTCGAATCTGTGTCTCCCCTTTCTGTCCTGGCAGCAGCGCCACCTCCACTGGCTCCTTCGTACTTGGCATCCACTTCGGTGGCCCGCCCTCCGCCGTCATGATGAGCATTCCTTTGCTCACCGTTTCCAGCTTCCCTTGCTTTTGCAAACACTCCGCTAGCTTCCTCCCCATCAGTACACTCTGCGCTCCTGTATCGATGATGGCATTCTCCACCTTCACTCCTTGTACGGCTATGGAGCCTGCTTCCGCCAGTAAGGCGGTCGTGTGGCACACCAGCCTGTCCTCCGGATGCCGCTTGGCCCGCTCCCTTACTTCTTCTTCTTTTCCCATCTTCCTGCTGCGTGTCTCGGCCTTCTGCTCCTTCCTCCCATCCACCCCACCGCTGCGCAGTCCCAGATCTTCCCTTTCTCGGGGTAGTGTTGCCACCATCGCATACTCAGACTCCTGATCTTCTTCCTCTTCTTCATCCTCGTCCTCCCACGCCATCATCGCTTTCTCCGGATCTTCGCTGATTTCCGCTTTTCCCAGTTGCGCTCTCAGCTTCTTCACCTCCTGCTAAAGCTCTTGTTCTCTCAACGATTTCCCTCTTTGTCCTCCTCTCCGGTAGCACTGAGTGCTCAGATGTCCCCTTTTTCCACACTCGCTGCAGGTGGGAGCTCTGGGGCAGTTCCTCCTGAGGTGTCCCATCTGCCCGCAGTGGTCGCACGTGATGCCCATCACGCAGTCCTTGCGCAGATGGCCCACCTCTCCACACTTGTGACAGCGCCGATCATCTCTCGACCTCTCCCTCCTCTCCTCTTCCGGTCGACGTACTTCTGTTGCTGACCACACCGGTCTTCTCTTCTCTGGGGGCCTACGAGCTCCCCTCATCATGTCCACATAGCACCTCCCCTCCTCCGCTTCTTTGGCGATCTGATATACCTGCCTCAACGTGGCCTTGGCCCTAATGGGATACAGCGCGCTCCTCATCTCGTTAACTAAATCTTCTTCTAGACCTCCTAAGAATTTCGTGACCATAAGACGGTCCTCTAGGCAGTTTAGATCTTCAGATAGCTCTACTAAACGGTTATAATATGCCAGCACTGATTCGCCTTTCCCTCTACGAAACTCACTAAATTCAGCTACACGATCGGCCGTGTCGCCTGGAAACTGTTCTTTCAGAATCTCGTAGAACCGATCTACTATCTTACGGGGCGGAAGTTCCCCCTGCTCATACCCTCGCAGCAGCCTTGCCCTCTCTACTCGATAGTGCGTCTGAGCCTCTCCTCGGAGCATCTTTCCTAGACCTCTGAAAAATTCTACTGGATCTAGCCCCTCTCGATCCCAGCAATAGCGTATATCATCGATCAGCATGGTGTAGTTCTTCAACAATGGTTCTTCCCCCGGCACGCCTGAAAATCGCTCGGGCACTTCTATCTTCGGTACACTCGCGACTGTCGACCGTCCGGTTTCCCACGAACTTGTCCTTCCTCCTTCCCTTACTGAGTAGCCTCCAGCCACTCGATCTTCTAGGGATCTAGCCTCGCACTCTTTGGGCTGCTCTTTCTGGCGTCTCTCTTCCTCCTTTTCCATCTCTGCTCTCTCCTGCGATCTCTCTATGCGCCCTGGCGTTCCTCCGCGTGAACTCATCCCCGAGCCTCCACGACTCCGCGGATCTGGCGATTCGACGTCCTCTCCACCTTTTTCGCTCGCAGCCGCTGAAGCCTCCGCTTCACGTCTCTCAGGCTCATGGGGCCCTGCGCGATACAGCGGACGCAGAGGAGGCTGCACCTCCTCCTGCACGCTCCTCGATGGGTATCTGACTCCTGATCTGAGGCGATGTCCCTTGGGACTCATCTCTCAACTCATCACCCACCCTCTTCTGCCCGCAGCTAGTCTTCGTCACACCGCTAGTGAATCACTATTCTCAGCGGTCACTCGGTCGCCTTTTCGCTTGTATGTTACAAGCCGCACGCCGCCTGCTCGGATCTACTTAAGATCGAATTCCCACACTGCTAGACTCCAGTAGGATTAGAGCAAGTTGCAGTATAGAAGGAAAACATACAAGCGAAAAGCAAATGTCCTACTGCGTCACCTCCTATTTACACATCCACCTCTCTCCCTTTTCCTCACCCTCTTCCTCGTTATCCCCTCGGGAACTGAGATTGCCCTTAGCCCTGGTTCTCGTCAGATTAGCCCCTCGCTGACGCACTCTGCCCTCTTCCTGCACGCGCCTCGACACTCTAACATTCCAATTCCTCCTCCCTCGATTCACCCATTCCCAACTTACTACAGTATTCTACTGTGCCACCCTTTTTGTTCAGCATATACTTTCTTGTATATCCAATCCTCCAATTCTTCTCTCACTTCCACTCACCACTTCCCTTGCTGCTGTGTTAACCACGGGAAGGCTTCTGTCTTTCCGCGAGTAACGCAACACAGCACAGTGCCAAGTTACACGCATGAAAACTAGTGTGACTGACGGAAAGGGCCAGTCAAACAGCACTGATGATAGCTGGGTTAAGTTGAGTTGGGTGTGGGAGAGAAAGAATATGCTTGGGTTGGGGGGCAGGGTCCGTGCTAGGAAAAAAACCTGTCTGATTGCTCAGACGGGCCCTCCGGGCCCGTCTGAACCATCAGACTTCTAGGTTTGTGGATTTCGGACGTATCAGATTACGCAGAGATATTTTTCTGATTAATCAGATATTGTATCATAGAACTTCTGATCTTCACAAAACAGAGCAACAGAAATGTTTTCTATTTCAAATTACAAGACTGCATTTCATCTAGTAATTGTAGCCCTTTGGCTGTCAGTACTCACCAATAGTCCGCACAGTACTCAACATTAGTCCACCTGGCGCAATATTAATCGATCGTACACCTACACTCTACAATATGGGATCACGCACACTAGCTGTGCTGCTACTAACCACTAATCAGATTCAGATTCGAGTACTGCAGAAGCTCTAACATCCCGCGGCGCATCACTGTCATCATCGCTGACAACCTTGTTCGTGTTTTTTCTTCTTCACGCGCCACTCAGCGACGCGAGGCTGGCCATCCAACTCTTGAGGTTGGCGATCAAGTCCTGCGCAAAGAGGGTGGCAAGGGCAATGCAAGATTCCAAATCACCCAGGCTCTCCTGGTCTGGCAGTGGGTCCTCGTGAAGGTCGAAGCTGTGATTCTTTAAGTTTCCTTGCCCGTCCATGCCTTCGACAGTCAC